GAATGCGTTTGTTTTATGGCCTCAAAGTGATATAGCTTTTGTCAAAGTATATCAAAAATAGAAATGTGTGTGTGTGTGTGTGCGTCTTTGAATAGTCATCAAAGACTAAACTTGCACAGTCTTTGTTTGCAGGTGCGCTTCTGTGACACTCGGCTGCAGGTGTGCACTGCTGCGTTTGTTGCTCTATGTCTCATTCTCTCTGTCTTTGTGCAGGTGTCTTACGGAGAGATGGTCGGCTGTGATAACCAAGATGTAAGTCAACCCTTCATCTTTAGGGACACACACAGACAACATTTCCTCTTCATAAAACACATACTGGATCACTCTGTCTGGGCTCTGACAGCTTTTGTGACCCCTGGGCAGCCATGATTTTTGTAGCGACGATGGCAAACAACATCAGCATTATTATTTTGAGTGAAAACGGATGTTGAACTATGTACAGTATATCGTTTGAGCATCGATATTACAGTGTGTGTCTCCAGCAATAGTCACGTTGCAGGATTAGATTATTTATTAACCATTATTTGCTGTTTGGCATGTTTTTATCCACTCTTGGGTGATTTTGAGTCTTAAATTTCGCCACAACTTTCTCTGTGTTTCAGCAAATGGAATGAATTTTGGTGATCAATCTTATTTTGGCAAATATTTTGGGGAAATGCTTTTAAAAATTCAACACTTTAGGCATATTTACTATTTTTTTTCCTCATTGACTTCCATTATAATGATATTTATTGATTGCAAATCCATGACACCATATAATCATGCATTCTTGATTGTTGCTGGTGTTCCCAGTTGGGAAGAGGTCAATTTACAAATGTTTACTGTTGATCATTAGTTGCATTGCAAAAAAAGCTTAGCTTCTGGATAAAAATGTTATGGTTATATGAAGTTTAGTGTATGAAAGACCTTGATATGTTTGAGAAAATAAAAAATAAGCATCTCAGCTTACAGAACAAAGTAAACATTAAGTGTATTTATGCACAGACACTGTAATTTGCTGTTTTACTTCATAGAACTTCATATAAAAACCAGAAGCTTTTTTGCACAGGCCCATCTACAGGGTTAATGCTGCCAACTGATGATCAACAGTATAAATAAACAGAGAAAATCACCAACAATCAAGAATGCACGATTATTTAGTGCCATGGCTTTGCAATCAAAAAATGTCATTATAATGGAAGTCAACAGGGCTGAAACAGCCACCAACATAATGAAAGTGTAGTCAACTTGAACAGTACACAAAGGTTAAAGGTAAAAAGATAAAGATTTATTTTTTGACTGTTCAGTTTCTTCCTGAATACTGTTGGACTCTCCAGAAAACCTTAAATCAACAATATGTTGACATTCCAACCTAACACTCAGACTAACACTCAGAACGTTTGGGTTTGTACCTCTATGATGACACTTTTTTTAAAACAATTTATTGAATCTGTTTTGTCTTTTTGCATTGTAGCTTGGTTCGGTAATCTAAGTCTGTCAAATTAAAACAGGTTGAGTTGCCTTGTGAAGGTGGCAGGCAAGTTCATCGGTTTTAACCAAACTGGTCCAATGGTAATTTACTGTACTTGTGTGTTAAAGAGAGCTCAGGGTATCCTATGCACTCCGGATCTTACATTGTATTCTGTGTTTCATCTGCTGCCATCAGGACGTTGTCTTAGACCAGGTGTCCACGGGGTCTTAAAAAGTATTAAAAGTTGTTAAATCAATGTAGAGAAATAAAGCCCTTAAAACTATTCAAAGGTCTTAAATGCTATTTTGCAAAGTATTAAACTTTAATATAATTTTTGATCATGCAATGTATGGTTGTATGCTAAAGTTTGCCTGAATTAAATCTGCCAATATCAGGATGCTCTGTAGTTTAATAAATCAATAAAATCCTACTAGGTTTGACATCATGCTGACATCAAACCAAGGCAACACTATTATTTCAGCAGTTCTGTAGGCGCCAACATGGTGAATTATCTAGATTTCAGATATTTTTATTCAGTATATACATAATATTTTAGATTTGGATTAGTTTCTTACATTAATATTTAGTAAATATACTGTAAGTTAAAATCTTGTCAGTGATTCCGATTGAAAATTGTCTTACATTGTATGTAAAGGGTCTTAATAAAGGTCTTATAGGTGTTGAATTGCGCACTCGGATCCCTGTATATACTCTGTTAGAGTTCCTAAATTCAAGACAAATGAAATTAGAAATTATTTTATTATGGTGGCCATTAGGTGTTTAAATGATTCCAGCGGGGGATGGAGATCTCAAAATAGATTTATTGTATGTTTTATGGTTATAATTTATTAATGTGTACTTGGAACTTCGCCTATGTCATGGCACCCTGCTGCAGTTTTAGTTTCCCTAAACTGGATATCAAAGTTTAGTGCGAGTCAGATTTTTCCAATATCGTTCAACACTAGTATATATAATTTTCCTCTTTAATATGTACGAATTACATTTTTAATACATGTACTTATTAATTAAACACTTTTTAAAAAATGAGAACATTAATGAACTGCTATATTTACTGAATTAAACTACAGTACTTGTGTATATACAAGAAAAAAATGGTATGTATATTTTATAAATGGTGTATGTGTAACATTTGGCCAGTCTGAGAATCTGATTCATTTAATTTTCATTTTATTTCCCATAGTGTCCGATCGAGTGGTTTCACTACGGCTGTGTGGGTTTGACCGAAGCACCCAAAGGGAAGTGGTACTGCCCACAGTGTACAGCGGCCATGAAGAGAAGGGGAAGCCGGCACAAATGAAAGCCAGATCACCTGGGCTGACCTCTCAGACATGACTGTCCTCCTCGAACCAAGAGTGTACATGTCAGATCTCCATGCGATCAGGGTGTGTAGATGTGAACAGAAATGTTGATGTCTGAAAGATGGTGTGTGTGTATGTGTGTGTGTGTGTGTTTGTGAAAATCACAACCAGACTGGGCAGTTTAGCTGGCGAATCAGTCAAAGCGCACACTGCCCTCAAAACGTGTCATGTTTTTATGTTGTTCTCTTCATCTTCATTTTTCTTTATGGAGGCAGATGGGCAAGATGTTATTGGGAGGCCCATGTATTTTAACATTCAAGACATTCCTCAGCTTGCCATGCGTGATGACCCTTCGCATCTGGCAGCTCCTGCTAATCTATAGTATGGATGCTGACTGGGAACTGTAGTCCGGAACTGTTTAATGGACTACAAGTCTCAGAGACATTCAGCGCTGACAAATCTTAACAGATCCTGAGATTACAACAGCAACTGTGACTCCCGGTGAAAATGTGGGATTTATATGTGTGTAATGTGGATAGATGATTTATCGTGCTCCGCTTAAAGGACAGAACATTTCTTATTATAGCAAGGAGCTCTTAAGATGTACAATAGAACAAATGAACAACTGTGACTTGTGTGTATGCTTGTGTGTTTGTGTCTCTAGCCTGTACTGCACTGACGTGGTGATATGTTTTGAGAGATGTGGGGGAAACAAACAAAAAAATCAATAAAATGAGCAAGAGCTTTTGGTAATCAGTCTTTATATCTTTTTTGTTTTAATAATGTTATGTTTTTGTGATGCGTTTTTTCTGAAAGAAATGTTTCGTCATCATCAGTCCTGTAAAAACACTTCGATCAACCAATCGGAGCCTGTGTTCATTAAATAAGGGGGATGCGTTCGTCTAATTCATTCACTCATTTTTTTCAGCTTAGTTCCTTTATTCATCAGTGGTCGCCACAGCGGAATGAACCAACAACTTATCCAGTTTAAACCAGCGAATGAACCACCCATACACTCACATGCATGCACATACACTACGGCCAATTTAGCTTATTCAATTCACCTTTAGCATGTGTCTTTGGACTGTGGGGGAAACTGGAGCACCCTGAGGAACTCCACACAGAAATGCCAACTCACCCAGCCAGGACTTGAACTAGGGACCTTCTTGTGAGGTGACAGTGCTAACCACTGAGCCACCCTGTGTTTGTCTAATTCATTTCTTAAAATGTCTAAGTCAAATGATTGTAACTGTGTATACAAGTTCACACTTTTTTATAGTAGCTAATTTAATAAATCTTGCAACTTTTATAGAAAGGGTTTTATTTTTTAAACAGTTGTGCTGCTTATTTATTTATCTGTGTGTGTGAAACTATTAATAGATTTTAAACAATGTTTACCTTTAAAATGTATTTTTATTCATCAAGGACAACAAAGTGAAAATGAAAGTCAAGTGAGCTTTGGCCAAATATGGTGATCTATACTCTGAATTTGTGTTCTGCATGTATTCCGTCCAAATGCACACAGAATTTAACATGCGCGGGAGCAGTGGGTTGCTGGGGGCCAGGTCGGGGTTCAGTGGTTTGCACAAGGGTGGTAATGAGGGTGGAAGCAAGCTCTGGCTATTCACTCCCCCACCTAGCCCCTGCTGGACTCTAAAACATAAGGCCACAACTGGCCCTAAACAAGGGAGCAGTAAAAAAAAGTTTTAAAAGGAAATACTGATTTTGAACTTTATATTAATTTTCATATGTCAGGCAAAAATAAATGTATATTAATATCACGAGTCATTACCCCAGCAACCAAATAAGCAACAAAGTAAGAATGTTCTGGGAAAATTCTCAGCAGGCAAAAAAAAAAAAAAAAGAATCATTCCCAGAACCTTCCAGGGAGGTTAATGTAATATTTGGTGTATATATATATATATATATATATATATATATATATATATACACTACAAATTCAATACTATATATCAACTATAAATTAATTTCGTTTACTGGTCTGTTTAAGGAAAATCCCAGTGGTCGTTTAGCTAGGAAAATGTTATTGGGATTATGCGGGTTAACGCAAACCAGGTGCGCTCCTGACAAATCAAAAGAACAGATCCAAACATCCTCTGTTTTGGCGGCTTACACCTTTAGCATTTTCTGCTACCGTAACCTTAGTTTTAATCGCTGTAAAAATAGAAAACAGACGTCACGGTGGTCTCCAGGCTCTCTTTTTTTAAAGCTTAGGTGATTTTAGCGGTTCTTTAAAAGCGTCACACTTGTGCGCGCGAGACGCGACAATTACGCTGCCCAGAAGTTAAAAACAAGATTGCGAAACGACTGCTATCTAGCACGTATTGTATGAATAGTCGTTTAAAAGTAATATCTTGTAGAATCCGACAACTTTACAGCGGTTTGGTAGAGAGGCAGACGCTTTCTGACAGCGCGCTCTGCGTGAAGGAGGCGTATCATTACTCTTCAGTCATGAGGTTCTGCTCGGGAGTGTTTTTAATCACCCGAGGGGCTCAGCAGCTTTAAGAAGAAAAAAGAAGCCTTCAGAAAAACTTTTCACTCTGCTTTGATACCTGGACGTTTGAAACGAGACTTCCCAAACACTCGTCGAATTTAGCTGAAGATTTTCCGCGATAATGTCATGAACGCGTTCCTCGGATATGAGCGCTTTTAAACTGCGCGTTTGAGCGCTTGTCGCCGGACAGCGCGCCGTGATCTGGAGGGATGATGAGGGGACCAAACGCACATTCCCAATGGTATGTCTCTTGACTCTGTCCAGGAACCTTTGTGCAGGAGTGGGAATGGTTTTCCGTTGGGTATGGCCGCTCCGTCGGAGGTGCTGCACGGGTCCTCTTCTGCTGCTGGGCATCGCCGTGGGGCTCTTTTACCACACTGTGACTATGGACCGGGACAGAACCGAGATCAAGTCCAGTCAACGGGACCAAAGGAACAAATCAGCTGGCTTTGATTATGAACTTCTGCTCAAGAACCCAGAGAGACTCATATCCTTACTAGAAGCATCAGTAAGTTAATTATTTCTCCAGATGTATGATGATAGTTGTTGTGTTTGTTATTGCTGCAGTTGTAGCTAGTTGGTGGTGTTAATATTTATTAAGTACCAGTTAATGAATATAAAAGTTACTAATAATATTTGTTAAGAGTTAAATCATATTTGTTAATTGTTGTTATGTAAATAGTTATAGCAAAAATATATAGAATTTTGTTATTTGTAATGATAATAACAATATCATTAATATTATTATATACTACAAAAATAAATAAATAAATAAAGCAGTCGAATTAATAATGTATAATTGCAGATTATTTTATTAATAACGTTCTTAATGTTTAGTACTCTGGTATTACAGCAGTATTGCAATATTAACAACTATTTAGAATATTGAGTACTCATAATATTAGTAAGGTATTAAAATCCCATTATTTATTAATGTACAAACTGCAAGTTGTTGTGTTGGAATATTTATATCCTTCCTTCAGCACAAAACCCCTCGTTAAAAATAACCAATGAGTATTGTTTATTTATGATGCTTGCCTTTGTCAGAGGTATTTTAGGAGGAGATACTCAAGGCTGGACATTCATTGGTTTAAGAGAGCACATGAAGGAGGGGTTATTTACGAGCGCACATGCTTCTGGGATGATTGACATCTGTGGGAAGTGTTATGTCAGTAAAGCAGAGGAAAAGATCTGAGGAGAAAAGCTAAGAACAAAGAACGGCTGTCATGCATGTGCCCAACTATAGGTTTATTTATTACTTCTGCACATGGAGATGGAGCACATGCATGAGAGGGAGCGAGAGCGAGAAATTGGAAAGCAGATTTGGGGTCAGTGAGGCAGAAGATGAGGGCGGGGAAGCAATGAGGGGTGAGAGGGGTTTAGTTTTAAGCTGTGGCTGCTGCAGTATGACTTCTGATAATCTCAGACTAACTAACTCAGAGCCGGAAGTGTAGACTGAGAAGCTTGACAGCTGTCCTCAATCAGCTGTTAGCGAGAGTGTGTGTGTGTGTTCATTTGGATGGAGTTATCCGCCTGTGTGTGACCCGCAGTGGCTCTCTGATGTGTTTGGAGACTGGACTGTGCCTCGCAGTGCCATAGAGTCATAAACACTGAGGTAACCAAGTTGAGCAGGAAATGAAGAATTACCTGGTGCAGTTGTTGACATAATGACTTGTTATTGGAAATGTGTTTGTCACCTTGAGGGAGTTTGTGTTGATGAATTAAGGATTTGTTTTTAGGAGTTTTCCACTTCGCAGCAACAAGAGTGAGCATCGCTATTCGCCTTTTCCTTTATCCCATGCTGCTTTGCATGAATTGCAAGAGTAACGTAACCTGTGATAGACCGTAAACAAAATGATATGATCAATTTGTCATGACAGCGTGTGTTTTAAGTTCATTGTAACTTGTTAAATGTAAAGTTAATCATGTTCTAATATAATTTTATAAGTGACACAAGCTGTTATAAGTCAGTTTAACATAATTTTAGTTCAATGGACTCAAGGTTCATTTGATTCAGCTTAAATTTAAGACAACCAGGATTTTTTGTCACGGTGCAGAAGTGTTTTACAAACAACTGCAAACATTAAGATGTCATTATTCTCCTCACTGTTGAATATTAAAAGGCAGCTGTATTAGAATTAACAAATAACGTTCTACAGACCATAATAGCCACCAAAAGTCTTTTTGAGAGTATTTTAAATATGTAAAGCAGGAGTGTCCAAACTCAGTCCTGGAGAGGCGGTCTTCTGCATAGTTTAGCTCCAACTTCCTTCAACACACCTGCCTGGAAGTTTCTAGTATACCTAGAAAGAGCTTGATTAGCTTGTTCAAGTTTGTTTAATCGGGGTTGGAACTAAACTTTGCAGGACATCAGCCCTCTTAAACCAAGTTTAGACACTCTTCATGTCCAGTATATTGAATATTACAACTAGAAAATTATATTGAGAAACAAATTGTGATAGTCATGTTGAAATATTAAACAAATTGTTATTTTCATAACTGATAAAAATTTAATACAGGTCAAATGTAGATCTCACTCAGTTTTCACTATGGATTATTTGTCGCACAAGCTTATTATTAAAACATATGATTTCTTTTAGTTACTTTTAATCACAAAAATCTCCTAACCATAAGAGCAATTCCATGTTAATGTCAACCTTGCCATGAGAAAAATTAAGTTTTCGCCAAAATATCAAAACCGTTTCTGCATTTTTTGTGTGAGCAAGTATTTTACAGAGCTTTTAAAATACTCAAAAAACTCTCTGTTAATGTTTTCAAACTATTATATTTGATTTACCAAAATCACTCAAGTGCCAATTTTACATCTGTCTCGTCCATAACAGAGAGCTGTCACATCCATAACGAAGCTTTTTCCTCATAAATGCAAAAAATGTCAAATAAAATAAATTCAATAGTTTTTGTTCAATAGTGAGCCAGCTCTCATCCTTTCGATTAGCACTGTTTCTTTTGGGTTGTGCAGTTTAATTCACAGAATTTCTACGGAGTATGTTGTATACTGTAAACTTGCGTACTTTTTTGGTCACATCTATAACGCATGTTTATTTTCCTCATTTAAAATATAAAAAAATGTTTATAGATTGATATTTTTTTTCTCCCATAACTCTGTGGTGAGTTGTTTTGGAAAACATAAACAGAAGTTTCAATATAATGTAAATATATACCTTTTATATGAATTTATGTTTTGAGATTTTACTGCAAACGACACATCCGTATCACTGGAGTTGCTCATGAGTATAACTCGTAATTTAAAATCTAACAGTGAAGGGCAGAAAAAGCTGGATGATGTTTGTTAGTAGTCTCATAATACAATATTATTTTATTTATATTAGAAAGTTTCTATTCACATGTGCAGCATCCCAATTTACATACTTATACTACGCCCTAAAAGTATGTACCTTTTTTTGTAAAAAAAAAAAAGTATATACTTTTGAGTGTGTAACAGAAGAGTATGAAAGCTTTGGGATATGCTACTTCCTTGTTAACAGATCGTTATGTTGCTTAGTTATGTCACCTGTCAGTCATCCACACATCATTCACATTTCTTTCATTTTTAATTACCCTCCTTATTGGAGAAGCAGCAGCAGGATAATCTGCCGTTCGCGAGTCTTTCATGCAGAGAAATCTCCTCAGGTCTTTGGGTAATTATGCATTCAGAAGTTAATGTAAAACATATCTTAATATATGTTCACGTTGTTGCAGATGACATATAACACGTAAAACGCAGTTAAAATATGTTCCAGTTGGCAAGATATTGATTATCAGTCATTCAAACACTTTTACACTTGACAAGTGGTCTCGCGTGTCCGCCATGTTTGTAGTTTGTTTACACTTTTTACTCGAGTTTGTAGTTTGAAACAAATTCACACCCAGTGTGCAATGTATTGTGGGAAATATTAGTGATTAGAGTATGAACGCTTCTACACTTCGAGTTTTTACCGGGAATAGGAAACCATCCAGGAACCTTTGGCATACTCTTTTTAATTGGGGACATACTAATTCTATTTTCGAATACTTTTTAGAAAGGATAGTATGCGAATTGGAACACAGCAATGCTTTCTGTGCATACTGTGAAGTGAAGTTTTCCCATCCCATAAACCATTGCTGTCTCATTGCCCCGACAACCAATGAAGGACGCTCATTCATATTAACCAAGTCACTTCTGTCTGGACTTTTGGACCGGAGTTCGCCTGGTTTGGATCCAGGATTGGACAATTGTTTTCACTCTCAGCTGATTAAGTCCTAGTGTTTATACACACACACACACACACACACACACACACACACACACACACACACACCGTGAATGTGAATAACTGCTTTAACTGCTGCCATATGTCAGTCTAAAATGAACCTCACTATTCAGTGTTTAGACATCACACTCTAACAGCCAGTTGGAAAGGCCAATCACATATTAACCTCTAGTAGTCTAAATCTAAACAGTAAAAAAAAGGTTATTAAATGTTATTATATATATATATAAAAAAATACTACAATTAATGCTTAATTTAATTAGCTTTATCTTGTTTAATTTAATTGCTTAATCCATTTGTGCCCAGTTTTTTAATGGTTTTATGCATGTAGTCTTGTGTCCTATATGAACATGTTTTGCATTTATTTTCTCCAGGTTTTAAATAGGTTTTATTTTTTTTAATTTATAAGCCGGTGCCGGTGGGCAAATATGTTGTAAGAGCCCTTCAATGTAAAAATCGAATAGGGGAACATTTAGGATCCTAACACAAAACAACTGCTTTTAAAAGATCAATTGATAATCATAAACTCATTCATTCATTCATTCATTTTTTTTTCGGCTTAGTCCCTACATTAATCTGGGATCGCCACAGTGGAATGAACCGCCAACTTATTCAGCATATGTTTTAAGCAGCGGATGTCCTCCCATCTCTGGGAAACATCCACTCACATACACTACGGACAATTTAGCCCACAGGTGTCAAACTCAGTTCCCAAAGGGCCGCAGCTCTACACAGTTTTGTTCCAACCCTAATTAAACACACCTGATCAAACTAATTGAGTCCTTCAGGCTTGTTTGAAACCTACAGGTAAGTGTGTTGGAGCAGGGTTGGAACTTAATTGTGCAGGGCTTCGGCCCTCCAGGAATTGAGTTTGACACCCCTGATTTAGCCTATCCAATTCACCTGTATCGCATGTCTTTGGAATTGTGGGGGAAACCGGAGCACCCAGAGGAAACCCCATGTGAATGCGGAAAGAATGTGCAAGCTCCACACAAAAACGCCAACTGACCCAGCCGAGGCTCGAACCAGCGACCTTCTTGCTGTGAGACGACAGCACTCGTCCTACTGTGCCACCGCGTCGCCTTAAACTCATTTACTATATTTAAAATTAGAAAACAATTTAAAATGAACCTTGCAAAAAATTATCTATCATATAATTTCATGAAAATGAAAACAAAGAACTAATTCATTTGTCTAAAAGTCATGAAACACACACTAGTTTCCCCAACAGACTACT